TGACACCTAGTCAGTTCTGACTGTCTCACCTCTTCGGGTTCGAGGGGTTCGATCATCGGGGAGTCGTCGACTCGTCGGAGAGGTGAGGAGGCCAGACGCTTCTCCCACTCTGTCATCCCTCCTCCTCCGTCTCCTCCCTCTAAGAAGGAGCGTCTCAGAGCACTGATGGTGCTCTGAGGGTTCTGCACCTCCTCGGGACTCCCCAACGTCTCCTGCAGGCCAGATAGGAGACAGAAAAAGGGGACAGGTCAACACGATCTGAACTGGTTATATGAATATGAAGCACAGTGAAATCAGATTTACCTGAGTTTTCAAATCCTCATCCTGATCAGACTGTCAGACACACAGACAGACAGACAGGTGGAGAGAGAGACAGATTAACGTTGACCAGTTTTTCTACACCAGCAGTATTAAGGACAGGATCGGAGGACAGATGTGTACCTCGGTGGCTGTCAGGTCTCCGTCCACAGCTGTATCAGTCAGCTCAGTCTGAACAAACAGAGAGTGCACACTACGTTACAACTCGTTAGTTCTCTCTTTGTGAAGTGCCATTAAAACACAATGATCTACTGTATTTCTGCAGGTGAGACAGGTGTTTGTTACCTTGGTGTCGAGTTTCTGTGGACTCTGAGGACTGGTCTGAGAAACATCTGTAGCTTTGGTTTCATCCTCCACCTGCAGCTCCTCCACCTGCAGCTCCTCCACCTGCAGCTCCTCCACCTGCAGATTCTCACCTGCAACACACCAGCAGCTTGTTAATTCCACACTGTCAGTCAGCTGGTCTGAGACGCCTCCTCTGATTGGCTGTGCCTTACATTGCTCCTCCGTCCTCCTCTCGGGGGTCACGGTGGTGATGAGGTCACTGACGGCGATGGCCTTCGATGCTCCGTACAGACCCGAGCCCATATCTGCAACAAACACGCACCAGCTGTGAGGTCATCACTGTGACGTCGGCAGCAACACAAAAGGTAACCATAGCGACCAGCAGCCAGCAGCGGTGACCATAACGACAAGTGTAATGCACAGCCATTCTGTCCTCATCAGCAGCCAAGCATCACGACGGCTCGTTGCCAAGGCAACGGCACACTGAGCCAATCAGTGCTGAGGGCGCATGCACCGCAGCCTGGGCCAATTAGCCAATCAGCATTCAGAACCACCATCAAGCATGACCTGTAGCTATCTAGCATCACATAGCTCGTTGACCAGGAAGCAGTGCTAACAGTGCTAAGAGTACTGCCAATGCTAAAAGTGCTAACTGATCTAACAATGCTAAATAACAGAATTTACAAGTAAAACAATGCTAAGGAAGGCTAATACGCTGCTGATCCCAGGTGTATCTGAAAGCAGCACAGCCAATCAGGATGCAGCATTCCCAACAAACTCAATGAAGCTTCCAGAGCAGTACCACCGCAGTACTACTGCAGTACGCATACAGCCAGCAGCAGTGGCACTGCAGTACTGAGCACTACCTGTGTGTGCACCACCGTTGGCTTTGGGAGACGCTGTGATGGCTGGAGAGCCAATCAGAGAGGAGGTGGGCGTCACCCTTGGAGCTGAGGACCAATCAAAAACTGGTCATCAACAAGGAGAAGAATGAATCGACCAACCACAGAGTCCTGAACATGAACTACTATTGCTGGGACCAGTACTACAATTATAAGAACAGTAGTACTAAAACTGAGACCAGTAATATAACTACTAGGACCAGTAATACTACCACTGAGACCAGTACTATAACTACTGGGACCCATACTTCTATCACAGAGACCAGCACTACGACTACTGGGTACAGTACTACAATTATAAGGCCAGGAGTACTAAAACTGAGACCAGTACTGTACTACTAGGACCTGTACTTCAACTATTGAGACCAGTACTATCACTGAAACCAGTAATTCTACCGCTGAGACCATTAGTACAGCGATTAGGACAAGTACTACTACCAATGTGACCACTGCTACTACTATGGCAAACAGTACTACTACCCCTGTGACAAGCACTACAACTATTAGGACCAGTACCACTACCACTACCACTACCACTGAGATCAGTGCTACAACTACTACGACCTGTAGTACAACTACAACTACTGAGACTAGTATTACAGCTATTTGGACAAGTACTACTAATACCACCCTTCTGCAACCTTACCTGGTACTACCATAACCATTAATACTATTACTAGTACTACTGTTGCTAGTAGTGCTACTACATATACTACAACTAGTACTTCTTCTACAAGCTTACCTGGTACGACCATGACCATTAATGCTATCACTCCTACTATTGCTGGTACTACGACAAGGACCACTACGACAACTACAAGTACTTCCTTTGCAACCTGAACTACTACTTCCATGACCAGTAGTACTTCTACGACTACTGTTGGTAGAACAGTGACACGAGGACACACAAGTACTGCCACCAGGACAAGTATGACTACTGTCAGTACACCTGTAAGAGTGTTAGTACCTCCATCCAGACTGCGACTCAGCATGTTCCTCTTGCTGATGCATCGTGGGAAATGTGGTGCCGGTCTGGAGATCTGGGCGCTGGCTCTGCGACTCTGGATCTGAGTGCGACCACTGTAGCGAAACTTTGAGCCCAGCGACAGAAACTTCTTCGGAGGCTCCTCTGGAGACACCAGCCTGACGGACAGACGGGACAGACTTGAGATGGCGTGTCATGTGTTCGTCACCACATGCTATGATGCCGGACGGCTGATGTACCTGAAGAAGGAGTGATGCTCCACGCAGACCTTCCACAGCCTCTTCGCTGCTCTGTGGTTCAGCAGCTTAAAACCAATAGTGGACTCAAACTGGTCAAACTGGAGACAGACACAGAGGTTCTTAGCTTTAGCATAAACCCATCAGCAGGAGGCGCTGTGGCATGTTTAATGGCAGCTCACACATTGTTGAGGCTTCAGAGAACGTGAGCTCTTCCTCTGTGGTGCTCAGGTGTGTTCTCACCTCTCCTGGTCGGATTTTAATGTAGAAGTTGTTCCGTTTGTACGAAATCTTCAGGATCTTTGGCCACGAGAATCTGTTGATCCTCAGTCTGTCTCTGTAGACCAGCAGGCCGCTACTGCACACGCCCAGCATGATGGCCACGCCCTCCGAGTCCTGCAAAAACACAAACACACACATCATGGGCTCAAGGATGATTAACATGGTTTACATACACCTGTGATCAGTGAAACCAAACTGAGTCCAGCTGTGGTTCCATCAGTCCACCTGCATGAACATGGTTCTACAATGAGCTGAGAGCAGCAGAACCTTCTCAGTTCTGGACCTCTGGACTGTGTCTATCTATGTCTGCATCATGGCTCCACATGGAGAAGACCTGAACAGAGGAGGAGAAACATCTGACTGAGAGACTGGACAAAGATGGAGAAGGATCCAGAAGATCAGTGAGCAGCTAGAACCCAGTGCAGCCCAGTGTGAGCAGGAACCAGGAGGTCCAGAAGGAGCCACAGCAGCACTGATCAGGGCTGCAGTGGTCGTCCTCCTA